TCCTCAGCCTAGCCCTTGTGGCAGGCTTTTTATGTGGGATCATTTGTGCAGGTCACAAAAGCAGACTTGCCCTTAATTGAGTTAAGTGCTTTGGTGCTTTGTGACAGGGGCACTCTGTCGATCTCGACTCTCGCAAACTCCACGACAACCTCGATCACGACGTCCATGTCTGACTCACCTCCCTGCCTCCATCTGCAAGGGAGGTGTACCAGCAGTACCTTCGGAAGCTGAACGAAGCTTTCCTGGAACAATCAGCAGCTCCTCAGTGGCAGCCTCCTCTGGCCAGGTCCTCTTCACTGCCAGTGGCCTTACCTAATGGTACGTGACTTCACCCTTTCCTCTCCTTTGTGCCTCTTGCACCTCTCGCCTGCTTCGTATACGTGTCGCACCTCCATCCTTTGCCCTCGCACCTCTGTGCCACTTTCTCCTGTGCCTCGCACATCCCGCACTTCACACTATTCACGTGTCTCATTTCTTTGCGCCTCGTGCCTCTCATCTCTTCGCACCCTCGCGCCTCTCATCTCTTTGCACCCTCGCGCCTCTCTCCTTCTTGTGCCCCTGCACCTCTTGTCCCAAAATTTGTTTCATCCTCACCATTGCTGGCAGTTGCCTCTGCACTGCCCATGCACTCCTTGACCCCTTCGGGTCTCTCTTGCCATTCACTTTCTGAACTTCACCTTCCTTGCTGACTCCTTGAGTTATCTACAGCCCCTCTTGCTACTGCACTCTCAACCGCTGTGCCTCTTGGCCCTTGCAAGCTGTCACCGCATGACTTTCCTGATGTTCCCATGGAGCTCGATCCTGATCGTCTTATGGATTCTCCTGCGGTCATCAAAATCATCCGTTCAGGCCTCAAGGCGTACATACCGCTCACGGCCTTGACAAATGAGGCCTGTTGCATGTCCATAGGCTGGCTCACCATCAAAAGGAGACTCTTAAGGTCGAGAACGGATCTGTCACCATCTCGCTTTCAATCCTCGATGCCTCTCGTGAACCGTTCCTCTCTGCTGCTGAATTCCAGCAAGCCTACCCATGCTACCTTTCTCTCATTCATGCACACTATCCGGGGCAAGGGAAGGTTCATCTCGCAGACGAGTTTGAAGCCCATTTCAGTCTTATCATCAGCCGTTTCGACTGGGCTGAGCGAACTGGCACGTACATCACCCTCGATATCATGATCCAGCGCCAACACCATAATGGAGTCGCTGTCATGCCCTCTCTGTGGCAAGCCGGCCTCTACTCCCACATTCGTGAGGAATGTGTGACCGGCTTTAACATGGGCACCCACAACCAGGCAGGTTATGTCTATGACCCTGTATATAACCCACCGCTGGCTCAGCGGTGTGCATTCACTGCTCTTCTGGTGGCTGGTGCTGCTGCAGTGCCCTCTTGTTCCTTTCGTGAGCACTCAGAACCTTGCCATGAGGCCAGGCCTGCCTGGGACTCTGGATAGGGGGGTGCTGCTGCAACCAGTTTGCGCTGCATCACATGCGGCAGCACTGCGCATAAAGGAACTGATTGCACCTGCGATCAACCTCCCTTCATGCAGTGCCGTAATGGCAAATTCGTCACGCCCAAGGGAATCAACCTGTGCTTCCAATTCAACCTCAGCAGCTGTCAAGGATGTCAGCGACAACACCTGTGCTCTCTCTGTGGACAGACAGGGCACAACGCCCAAACCTGTCCCACTCACTGATGTGTGAGCCATCGTCACTCCTCTGTGCTGGGATGCATGGTTGGAGGAGCTTACAGCAGCAGGCTGCCTCGATGATTTCAGTGATGTTCCCATCAGTATCCGAGATGGTTTTTGCTTGGGTGTTTCTTCCTGCCTCACCTCTACGTATATTCCTCATAATCACAAATCTGCCTCAGATCATCCTGAGGCTGTTGCGCTACACATTTTCACTGAGCTGGCTGCGTGCCGGTATTCTGGTCCTTTCCATCCTGATCGTCTCGAATCTCTTATTGGTCCTTTTTGTACCTCCCCTCTTGGCACCGTTCCTAAGGTGAATAGCCCGGATGTCTTCTGCATCATTCAAGATCTCTTTTACCCACGTAACGACGACCCCGTGATACCCTCTGTCAACTCCAAGATTGATCCAGATGACTTTCTTACTAAATGGGGCACCTTTACCCAATGCATACTTTTGCTGGTCAACTCCCCTCCTGGAGCGCAAGTATGTGTCAATGATGTCGAGAAAGCCTATCGCTGCATGCCAATCGCATCTGACGATCAAGTGTTCATTGTCATCATGTGGAACGATCTCATTTACGTTGACCATTGTGCAGCTTTTGGCTCTGCCAGCTCTAATGGCATTTTCAGTCATGGTGCTGATGCCATCGTACACATTTTCAAGTTCAAAGGAGTCCAAGACATCATCAAATGGGTCAATGACTTTCTCTTTTTTCGGTATCCGATTGGCCGGAATCCTGATGGCTCCTTTCTCTATTCATATGATGAGTCCCTCATCTTCTCTGTCGCTGCATGCCTTGGCTGGCTGTGGTCCCTGCTGAAGCATGTTCCATTTGCTCCAGCTTTCGACTATCATGGCTTTCACTGTTGAGATACTCGACAACAAGAAAGCTAAATATCTCCTTTGTCTCACGCCATGGGTCTCTGGTGCTTCTGTTTCACACAAGGACTGCCAAACTGTCATCAGTACCCTGACGCACTGCTGCCTCACCATTCCTGATGGACACTCTCATCTTCCGTCCTTTTACTGTATGAATGCTGCCTTCGCCTCCACCACAAATTCATATGTTAAACATCACATTCCCACAGCAGTGCTCACCAACATCGACTGGTGGCGGAGTACACTTTCTCAACCTTTCTGCAGATCTAAGCTGTCTATTCTGCCAGACGATGACTCCTTGTCTATCTTTGTTGATGCATCCTCCTCCTGAAGAATCGACCTCATCGTAAATGGATGTTGGCAAGCCTGGCACCTCCACCCAGGATGGAAATCAGATGGTCACGATATTGGATGGGCAGAAATGGTCACCATCGAGTTGGCTGTCCACCATCTGATCGCCGATGGCAAGGTCGCACACCGATACCTTATCTGTTCAGACAACCAAGGTGTCATTGGTGCACTTGAAGCTGGTCGCTCACGCAGCATTTCCCAGAACCAAGTTCTTCAAAAGATTGTATCTCTGTTCTCTGCACATGGTATCTGGATTCGTACCGAATATGTAAATACAAAAGACAATCTCGCAGACTCCCCTTCTCATGGCATCTTTCCTCCATGCTCTTCATGTTTGCGATACCTCTTTCCTGTACCTTCACATCTCGATCCTTTTCTCGAGCGTGTACGGTAATTATGATAATATAAGTACTTATGGTCTGTAATTCGTCGTATTGTTCAAAGGCCAGCGCCGGTTCCTATGCGCTAGCCACCTCAGACTGGTAGCCATTTGTTCACTCTATGGAACCCACCAGCTCTAGTGCTCCCTTCACCGCATTTCTTTCTCAGTTTTCTTCTCATCTGCATGAGTCTCTGGGCAATCCAATACCTGCCTTTCACTATGGGCCCTCAGACTTCAGCGGTCTCATTCGGTGTGAGCGGACACGGACTGCCCGACATCAACCTTACGCAACTACCACAAAACCCAGTCACTCTGCACGCTCTTTATTCCAACCTGTCCTATTGAACAGTAACAGCTCACGGAGACCTTTATCCTCTCATGACTTCCTATCTGTCGACATCAACTCTCATACTGAATCTGTCCTCTCGCAGTGTCTCGCAGCTTCTACTCTTGATCAGTATAGCTCTTGCCTGAGATCCTTTATCACCTTCTGTGATGGTGCAAGCATTCCACCACACATGAGACTTTCCGCCGATGAATTCTTACTTCGTGCCTTCATGGCATCTAAAGCTGGTTCTCATGCTCACTCCTCAGTCCAGAATATGCTATCTGCTGTACGTGCATGGCATATTATCCAAGGTGCCCCTTGGCATGGCAGTTTGTGACTCACTTATACTCTTAGTGCCATTGAACGTCTCGGTCCCAGCTCAAAACCTCTACGACTACCTATCACTCGGTCCTTACTGGAACTGCTGCATGGCGAGCTTGACCCATGTGACCCAGAAATGGCTTGCATCCTCTGCATGGCTGACGTGGCCTTCTGGGGTCAACTGTGTCTTGGGGAGATCTTCTTCTCTTCCCGTACTCACTTCGATCCTCGACAAATACCTTCCCGACAACATCTAGCCAAAGCATCCTCACTGCATGGCTCGCATTTCCTGCATCTCTAGTTCACCAAAGTCAAAAAGTGCGCCAGTGAGAAGGTCACGATTACATGTTAGCAGGGCCCTTCTGACCCCATTACTGCCCTTCAACACCACCTTCGCATTAATTCAGTCCCTGCTGATCTGCCACTGTTTTCTTTCCATGCAACCAACAACTCCTGGTCATGCCTGACTAAGAAACATTTCTTGCAAGTGTGTAATGGAGTTTGGGCCAAACACGAACATGCCCACATTACGGGTCATTCTTTCCATATCGGCAACACCACCGAACTCTTGCTGGGTGAAGTGGATCCAAACATCATCAAAGTCATGGGCAGATGGTCTTCTGACTCCTTCCTGCGGTATTGGCATGCCATAGAAACCATCATTCCTATGCACGCAGAGCTTCTTACTTCAACGGTGGCACCTTCTCTCTCTTGTTCCCATCATCGTAAATGTCTCATGAAGAAATCCATCTGGTTCGACCTTTCATAGTAATACCTTGTATGCATGTTCACTTTACGTTGTTTTGTACAATTATATGATGATTCGCTTGACTCGTCTTGTGGTAGGGGTTCCGAGCATCGATAGTGATCACTCGTCAGCATCTTCATCTAGCTTTGGGTGTTCCTCATAATCTCCTCCCAGCACACACCAGGCTCCCAGATCCCATTCGAACTCTGGGACCAGGACGTTCCACGTCCAGCCTATCCCACCACAAGCATTGCCATGACAGGGCAGTGCAGCTCTTTAGGCTCAGACACATCTCTACTGTCACAAACCATAAGATCTTCTCTTCTTCGTCTGCACTTCCATTTCGAAGAAGGAAGTATTTTTGAAACAGTATGCATGGGGCTGGCCATGGAGACGTGTGATTCAGCCAAAAATTTATCATTCATGCCAGTGCCCGAGTGTTCTGGTGCAGGATCATCCAGAGATGGGTATTTCTTCTCAACTTGATCAGCCCAAGAATGCTGATTGGCACTTGATGAGTCAGAATCACTGTTGAACAACTCGACGATGCGTCCACTTCGATGCACTTGAGGAATTGAGATACTCGGAAGGTTGTTCCTTATTGCTTCCAGTGCTTGGATTCGAGGAATCAATACTGGAGTTTCGTGCATATGCCAGCTTGGGATGCTTAGGTGACAGCAAATCTGGGATTCGTCCTGCATTCCATCATTCAGTCTTTTGCAAGGGTCGCACCTGTGGGTTGATACTCCCTGAAGAGTTGAATGTCCTTATCCTTTCACGGCATTCGTGTTGCCGATGTCCAATCTGCCCGCAGTTCCAACATTGACCAGGGAATTGGTTATGTTGTGGTTGCACATGACGAGAGTCTTCTTGCATGCCCTTGAATGGCTGATTGATCCATCGATTAATTGAAGGCGACGACTGCTGGTCTGTTGTCGACTGCTGCCACTGCATCTTCTTCTTTCTGCCTTTCTTGTTAGGGCATCTTCTAGGCAAGCTTTCTTCTGAAGAGGAAGATGTAGAAGACATGGCACTGTCATCGTCTTTTTGCTGACTGTTGTCAAACTTCCTTTGAATGAGGACCTTAATGCCACGCCATTCTTTTTGACTAAGATCGAGCAATGTCATCAGTACTTCCTTCCATATTGATGTAGGGAAGTCCATCTGGTTTGCTCGAGATGAATGAGTATGAATGGTGCCAATCCAAATGGTGTTCATGCCAAGAACATGCTGAGACATTCGGTTAATATCCATAGGTTCGTCCTCATCTTCTTCGACTTCCTTTTTCTTCTGATCGATGGGTTGGTTTTGACTACCACTACCGAGTCTGAGGAGGAGGTAGGTGAGTCTTGTATTGACCAATTTCGTGACCAACTGTTCGATCTGCTTCCGCATTTTCTTCGTGATCGACGAACCTTCCAAGGGTTCTTTTGATCCGATAGATGGTTTCTTTGGGCTTGCCTCCTTTTCGTTAATTGAAGAAGTCTTCTTCTTCTTCTTTGGTTTGATGATTGGCACTGTTCAGCTGATGTTCGGACTCTTTGCAGGACATTTGTCCATTTCATGCCCTGTCTTTCTGCACTTGTAGCATAAGTGTTCCTTAACTGGAAGGCTCCGAATATGCCATGGTCATCATGTCCGATCAACGTCCATCGCATTTGGGTCATCTATATCCATTGAATTTTCATCATCCACTGAATCGTCCTGATTCGCATGTGTGATAAAATTGAAGATATTGCTTTTCCCTTTATGGACATTTCAGAGGTCGGTGACTTGTCTTGCCATGTCACAAGTGTCTTTGTACGTAGTTGGAGGATTAAAGACAATGAAGACCTTTTCTGCCAACTTTGGATCCAAGCCTCACTTGAAGTGTACAAGCTTGGCATAGTCGTCATTGATTTCAGCATAACGGAAGAGGATATTGAGATTCCCAATGTAATCATCGACTTTTCCTTTCTTCTGCATGCACCGATTGTCTATCAGTGTTTGCCATGCTTGATCCTTGGTTGCGACTCCTCCGTACTTTTCTTGGAGCATCATCCGGAAGTCGTGATAGAGTCCTAGATCATCCGAGTTTCCTGTTTGCGCAATCATTGCCACTTCCCATGATTTGACCCATTTTGCTGCTGCCAAGCCTGGTTCGAAGTTGGATATGATAAATGCTATTTGGCTATAGTCATCGCCATATATGTGGATGTTGGCCTGAAGATATCATTCTCCAGCTTGAAGGAATGAGGTAAATGTCCGCTTGTCTCCTGCGAATGGTGGGATCTTTCCTAGATGTCGTTCCTCCATCTCTGGCTCTGTGGGAACAGAATTGTACATCACATACAAATTCATTTTCAGGAGATATTCCTGTCATTGGAATTTCAGACATGCCGACCCTGGATATACTGGTGGCCCTTGCACTGGGTCATATCGTGCCTTGATGGGATTTTGGTTCGTAGTTCCCAAACTACTTGTCTGTGCTATGGCTGACTTTGGCCTTACTGGTATTCTGAGCGGTACTGAAGACTGTCCTCCTTCTGAGGCTGTCCTAGTTAAAGGTGTCGTCCTGACCCCTTTCCATAATCCTAACCCATCGTAGGGTTTCTTGGATGTTGGCGTAGTACTTGGGTCACCAC